GGTCAATGTCATAGAGTCAGGACTGAGTTGGATGGACCCCATTGTTGCATTCCTGTCTTCCAAACAGCTCCTAGCGGACAAGAAAGAAGCGCACAAGCTGCGAAACAAAGCCCTGCGATACTACTTGGATCTGCAAGGAAAGCTTTATAAAAAATCCCTTTTTGGTCCATACCTGGAATGCGTGCATCCGGACAAAGTCGAAGAGCTTCTGACCGAAATACATGAAGGCAGTTGTGGTGCATATTCTGGCGGGCGCTCTTTGGCTCATCGAGCTGTAACACAGGGTATTATTGGCTGACAATGAGAGCAGATGCTGAATGTTATGTGAAAAAATGTGAACAATGCCAAAAGTTCTCCCCCTTAACCCATCTGCCTGCTGAAGAGTTAAGATCTATCACCAGTCCTTGGCCGTTCGCCCAGTGGGGACTTGATATTGTCGGACCATTGCGGAGGGCTTTAGGGAACAAGCGATACTTGATTGTCGCGACAGATTACTTCACAAAATGGGTCGAAGAGGAGGCATTAACGCACATTCGAGATACTGATGTTAAGCGCTTTGTATGGAGAAATATTATAACACGATTTGGCATTCCAAGAGCACTTATCTCAGACAACGGCACCCAGTGGTATCCAACCTTACTTTTCCACGTCGGCTTACCCACAAAGCAATGGTCAAGCTGAAGCCTCTAACAAATCCATCTTGAATGGCATCTAGAAGAGGCTGGAGAAAGCTAAAGGCAAATGGGTCGAAGAATTGCTGAGTGTGTTGTGGGCTCATCGAACTACGTCGAGGCAATCCACTGGGGAAACGCCGTTTGCTTTATGCTTTGGAACCCAGGCAATCATGCCCCTGGAGATTGGCCTCCCAACCTTGAAATTGAAAGTTTTGGATATGGGCCAAAATGACATGATGCTGGCCTTGGATTTGATTCTGATTGAAGAATGAAGAGACTGTGCCCTTGTATCCATGGCACGGTATCAGCAGCAGCTTGCTAAGTCGTATAATCAACGTGTTCAGCTGAGCCGCTACACACCAGGAGAGTTGGTCCTGAAGAAAGTACTTCCAGCTGCCAGGAAACTGGCTGATGGAAAATTGGGTCCTAACTGGGACGGCCCTTATCAGGTCGATTCGATCGCGGGAGTAGAGGCATATCGGCTCAAAGACATGTCTGGAAGGAGTCTGCAACGGCCTTGGAATTTAACGCACTTGCGTAAATTCTATCATTAAACCCGACTTGTGGGGAATGATACTAGTTTTGAATGGTTCACCGTGTACATATTTCACTTTTGCAATGTAAAGTTTCCCGTTTCCTCATCACGCAATTCAGTTCAAAAGCCTCCGAATTCGGAGTGCCCTTCATGGATATCACGATTGGCCAAGTCAAGTCTCTGGATTCAGAGCCCCATTGGTGCATGATACCTTTGGGCCGATTAAGCCTTCGGATTTGGAGCGCCCTTCGTAGATATCACGATTGGCCAAGTTAAGCCTTCGGATTTGAAGCCCCATTGGTGCATGACACTTTTGGGCCGATTAAGTCTCCGGATTCGGAGCCCCATTGGTGCATGACACCTTTGGGCCGATTAAGCCTCCGGATTCAGAGCGCCCTTCGTGGATATCACGATTGGCCAAGACAAGTCTCTGGATTCGAAGCTCCATCAGTGCATGACACCTTTGAGTCGATTAAACCTCCGGATCCGGAGCGCCCTTCGTGTATATCACGATTGGCCAAGTCAAATCTCCGGATTTGGAGCCCCATTGGTACATGACACCTTTGGGCCGATTAAGTCTCTAGATTCGGAGCGCCCTTCGTGGATATCACGATTGGGCAAGACAAGTCTCCAGATTCAGAGCCCCATCAGTACATGACACCTTTGGGCCGATTAAGCCTCCGGATTTGGAGCCCCATTCGTACATGACACCTTTGGGCTGATTAAGCCTCCGGATTTGGAGCCCCATTCGTGCATAACACTTATGGGCTGAATAAGACACCGGATTCGGAGTGCCCTTCGTAGATATCACGATTGGCCGACAAAAAGCCTCCGAATTCGGAGCCCCAGCCGTGCATAACACATTTGGGTCGAATAAGACTCTAAATTCGGAGCGCCCTTCACGACAAAGGTTAAAGCATACAAATATTCGTGCGTGACACTTATAGGCCAAATAAGACTCTGGATTCGGAGTGCCCTTCGTAGATATCACGATTGGCCAACAAAAAGCCTCTGAATTTGGAGCCCTAGCCGTGCATAACACATTTGGACCGACTAAGACTCCGGATTCGAAGCGCCCTTCACGACGAAGGCTAAAGCATACAAATATTCAAAGTGGAATGCTTCGTTAAGTTGGGCCGGCACAACCGCATAAACAAATTAAAACATGCAAACATTCGAAATGAGATGCCTAATTAAGCATGTAAACATTCAAAATGAAACACAAACGTTTAAAATGAAATATTTTATTAAATTAGCCAATAGGTACATAGTTGACGCCCAATCTGTGTTGGAGCGTTTACAATAAATATTCAATTCTATTCAGCATCGCCCTTGTCATCGCTTTTCTCAATTTCGAAAGCGCCAAAAGGAAAGTGATGACGTTGATATAATGGAGACGCCGACTTAACTCCTGCTCCTTGGAGTGCCCCTAAGGCTTGGAGAGCCTTAATCCACCCATGCCTAAAGCCCCAATTCTCGCATTGGCATACCTCATTTGTGAGTTTCTCCTTGGTCTTCTCTATCCCGACTTTCCGACCGTCGTGGAAGCCTTGTTCATAGGACGCGGCCTTCGCATTCTCTAGTGCGAACATACTTGCCGTATCTCGATCGGCAATCGCATGGCTTAACAGCCGTTGGGTCACTCTTTCATCAACGACCTGGTTGGATTGTCCGGCCGCACCCAGCTCGGTAGTTTGTGCCTTCCTTAGCTCGCGCTTGGCCTTCTCCGCACGAGCCTCCAAGTTTCGAATTTGTTCGTCCTTCTTCTCTATCTCCCGCCGCCGCGGCGCGCAGACGCATGCTGACTTCATAGGCGGTGTACAGCCCTCTCACTGCTCCGTGGATGCCCTCTCGAAATACTTCGAAATCTTGTCGACCAACCATCGACTGCTGGACTTTCGGTGGAAAAATCTGTCCAGCGAACTCGACTGCTACACCTGGGTCGTTGACAATAGAATCTGCCTCCATCATCGGTTTATTCCCTACAACAACCACAAAACTCAACGGTCGCGGCGTCGCGGCGGCCTCATTTCTCGGTCGCGGTCGTAGGGAGCTTCCCCTTTGTTGTTTTTTCTTTCAGGGTGATTTGCTTCGATGACTTGGGGGTTGACGTTTTTCCCATTCCTTAGACGTCCTACCTTCCGTACGTATAGGCTCGCTGCTCCGATTCATTTCAGTGTCAAGCTCAGCCAATGTTCGCCTTTTTCCTCTGCTGTTAAAGAACAGTCTATTTGACATTCGCACTTATCTAACCTTACGCAACAAACTGGTTTAAATTGAGTCTGAACACAATAAGTGGAATCACTGGTGCGAAGAGCCCACCCCATTTATTCCTAATGCATGTAGCGCCCCCGAGGCGATTTCATTAACGCTAAACTCCAAAAGACTGATGCCGATCGATCTGTGCCACAGCCACTCCATGAACTAATAATATTCGGCTTTTTAGACTTCATGCATTGGCTGGGGCGAGGGCATATTTATTAATCTAATCAGCCAAATATCTAAGCCTGATGCTGATCGATCTGTGCCGCAGCCACTCTATGAACTAATAATATTCGGCCTTTGGAGTTCATGCATTGGCTGGGGCAAGGGCATATTTATTAATCTGATCGGCCAAATATCTAAGCCTGATACTGATCAATCTGTGCCGCAGCCACTCTATGAACTAATAATATTCGGCCTTTGGAGTTTATGAATTGGCTGGGGCAATGGCAGATTTATTAATCTAATCGGCCAATTATCTAAGCCCGATGCCAATCGATCTGTGCCGCAGCCACTCCATGAACTAATAATATTCGACTTTTTGGAGTTCATGCATTGGATAGGGCAAGGGCAGATTTATTAATCTGATTGGCCAAATATATCTAAGCCTGATGCCGATCGATCTGTGCCGCAGTCACTTCATGAACTAATAATATTCGGCTTTTGGAGTTCATGCATTGGCTGGGGCAAGGGCAGATTTATTAATCTGATCGGCCAAATATCTAAGCCTGATGCCAATCGATCTGTGCCGCAGCCACTCTATGAACTAATAATATTCGGTCTTTGGAGTTCATGCATTGGCTGGGGCAAGGGCAGATTTATTAATCTGATCGGCTATTCGACGAGGATAAATTGTTAAATTGCCTAGTTATCTAATCGGCAAGTGTACATGAATGTTTTATCCAAAGTAGCAAAAAATAATACCATTCATCAATAGCAAAATTAAGCACAAATAATAGCAAAGTATAAATGAGATTTTCATTAGTAAATTGGGCAGTCTGTAGCCATTTTATATATGAAAACTACCAAACAAAAAACTACGAGTTTACATGAAGGCGCCTAGCAAAAATCTAAAAACTGTAGTCATTTTACATGTAAATAAAAACTACTAAATGAAAAATTCCAAATCCTTAAACAAAAACAACTAAAGTGTCGCCCTAATTAATCCTCGGAGTCAGACTCCAGCGGCTCAACATCCACTTGCTCGTATGGAATCGGCATAGCCAATGTCACATCAACAGTAGCAAGAGCTTTAAGCCAGCTGTGTTTGAATTCCCAATTTTCAAATTTGGGGACTTCTTCTACATAATTTGCGAGAGCAGTGCTTTGCCTGGCCTCGTATGCTTTGGAAGCCTCGGAGTCAGCTGCTTCCTTCACCTTCTTCGATTCTTCCAATTCAGCCTCCAGTTTGGATATCACCTCTTGGGCTAACTTGAGCGCATCTTCGCTCGCGTCTGCCCTATTCTCAGTGGCCAATCTTAACTGGTCCGCATTTCGTGCCCTCTCCATCTCGGCCTCGGTCCTCGCACCTTCCATTTTCGCCCTCGCTGCTTCAAAATCGACCTTGCTCCTCTGGCCCTCTACTTCCGATTGTAAACGGCCAAGTCGTTCGACGGCGTCATGCTGGCGACAGCCTGTCTCGGCTATTCTCCCGACCGTCTACAAAACAAGAAATTAAAACCAACACAATATTTACATAAAAGGGAAAGAAAAGGTAAAGGTATATACCAGAAGAGCCGATTGAGCGGCTAATGCTATTGCCAACAGATTCGGCTCCGCCCGGAAAGCCGCCTTGTCAGCCGGTAATGAGACGGACGTAGCCATACTCAACGCGACGGCTGGGTCTTTAATAGCCGACGCGTTAGAGGAGATCGGCGTGTTTTTTTATCTTTGGTTGAATGACAAAATGCACAATCACATCTGACTCCTCTAAATGCAGTCGTTTGTTAGCACAGTTTTCTTCTAAGCTGGCCTCGACCTCAGTAGGACGCTTCTCTGCCCTTTTCTCAGCCTCTTGATCGGCTTGCACAACCACCTCGGACTCGGCACTTCGGGTTTGAGCTGTCTCTTCCTCGATAACAGGCAGGGAGGGCTGAGCTTCGACGGCAGGTGGCACTTCAGATGGAATGGCCTCTACTCTTCGCCACGCGGCCATTCTTTCCGCATTTTTCTTTTTGGCGAGTTGTGTAAGGTTTAACCCAGCCATCTCTTCGGGGTATGCACCAGGAAGGTCTTCTAAACCAGTAAAAATGTCGTTAAACGGAAGGTCTCCTCGGCCCGAAGTAGACAATGGGTTGTCTGAATTGAAGCCGGCTTCCTCAATAGCCAATTTCAAAGCCTCGTCTATTTCAGCTTCGGCTTCGTCTACCTCAGCTACTTCCGCCCGCTCTGAATCTGCCCCCTCAAAACCAACTTGCCACAAGTTTTTGAAGTCGGTCAAAATAAGAGCCGTAAGAAACTCTTCACCCCTCGGAATTGGGATGTTTTCTGCTGCCAAAAACGTCGTATATGTCGGCTTGTACCGAAGAAGAATGTGGGTTGCCCTCCCTTGCTTCTGAAGACTCGGACGGGCGAAATATTTGATCGCGACTTTAATTTCTGAACGAACGGCGTTGTCAGTTAAAGTCAAGACTTTCTTCAAATCGTCTCCTGCACAAGCAAAACCATGAGATCTCAAAAATGAAGCTTTATAAATATAAGAAAAATAAACGCAAAAAGCTATACGGCCACCTAGTTCGCCCCTCCGTCTAGGAACAGGATCTAGGTGATCCTCGCCTTCACCGAATTTTCAGTTACCTCAGACAACGACCATAACATCATCGACTCGCTTGCCAGAGCTGGAAAGCATAATCACTAGTTGATGGTCGATGTCCTTAGCCCTAAGGAAATAGTATCCATGCCGACCAGAAGACTTGGCCAAGGCGTAACAATGCCGAATAGCAAGTATGCCAAGGTTAATCCTAAGGCAACGGTTTAGCTCTATAATCCCCATTACGATTCTAAAAAAGTTGACATTGGGTTGGAAGGGGATTAGAATCTAATGACAAAGGACAACCCTAAGAAATGGATGAAGCGGGAAACGGACTCCGCCCTCTGCGATTGATAAGAGAGGGAAGACGATTGGGCTTTCATCATCTCTCTCCATATCGAGGGTGCCATTTGTCACAAGCAACAGACGGACGTTATCAGGGATAGAAAAATGGCGTCGAAAGCCAGAGATTCGATCCGCAGAGATGAGGTCTTTCAGATGTTTTGCCATTATGATTAGCCTATAGGAGTGTACTAAACTAAAGGCAAACCAGGAAAAGGGATTCAAAGCAGAGAGGAAGAGAACTTACAAGGGACGGAGAGGACAATGAAGGATGAATGAAAGTTACAGAGGTGAGTCGGAAGGCAGTCCAAAAAACTCTAAGCATCCAAAAATGTGTGTTTGAAAAGACGACAAGATTTTAAATCACAATAAATGGAAGTTTACGAAGGGGTGGGAAGTTGAAATGATAACCGAGAGGCGTGTGCTTTGACATCCACGTTGGAATGAGGTTAGTCGCCGAACTTCGGCTCTGACTTTTCGAGATCGAAACCAAACACTCCAGCTAACTGTCATTTGTGGAGTGCTTAGGGGGCAATTGTGGGGGGCGAATATTATTAGGAGTTGTAAATAGGCCGAATAATTGGACCCGGAGAGTCAAAATATATACATCGCATTCGACCCTGTCTTGCACATTTAAATCCTGCCCTATTCGGCCAAATAGCCGGTTGAGTAAGGGACCAAGTGAAAAGCGGTTTGCAACAAAAGGAGCCGAGTAAATAGTTATACAGCGAATTGAAAGTGAGCCCAGCCCCGAGGCCCAAGAAAGAAAAGATATAAATAGAAGAACATCAGCCAGAAAGAGGTATGTGAGAATTAGTACGCTTAACTTAAAATACAAGTAACTAAGAGAGTATACACTGACTTGCCCGTCGGAGTGCTAATTCCGGCACCCCAAACCAGAGTGTTTGTTTCTTTTCAGGTCGTCCAGGTCCTCGGCAGAGGATCTCGAGAGTCCCAATGGATCAAAAGAGTATTTCCAAACCACTTCCCCATAAGCATGATGGTTTTCAAAGATGAAGATGTGATTTTCTTTCAAAAGGGCATAGCATGGCATGTGCATTTCATCTCTTGAGACTTGTATAAAATGTATATACTTTGTTAAGGGTTTTCTACTAGGCTTTGTGCTCACCCTACGGGATTTTTGTGCAGGAAAAGATGTGGTGATACCGCCTAACTAGAGGTGAGGAAATGTGTGTTGAGAGTACGAGACTCTCATTTTGCTGTGACTCTGTGTGTAAGCCAAGGGCTGTATGTGTATGAGTTTGAATAACTGTTTGTGTAACCAGGCTCAAGCCTTGGAAACTTGTAAACCCCTTGGGGGTATTTATTTGTTTGTTAATTTGTTGTTAGAAATGTATTGTTGCATGAAGAACTATTGTATCATGTAATGTAAGTTTGGAGATTTATATTTGGTTTTCCTTAAAAGAGCTATGATTATTGTATTATCATTTGGGCTAGAAATTTGAGGCATTACACAATGGCTAATCATGAAGTTGCATATATATCATGTGCAACCCTTAAAAGGTTGCACACTGTAATAGGTCCCATGGAAGGGTATTATGAATCTTGGGAAATTATATAATATTCCCGAAGTATCACGTGTTCCTACTCCTAACCAATCTCAACATGAATAAGCAATTCTACAAACTTTTTTCTCTTCTTCTTCTTTTTTTTATTTATATTTATATTTTTTATAACAAGATCTCTACTCTTAAGATTGATGGAAATTGAGGGGAAAAACATTATTTATGAAAATCACAAATTTAAAATATAAAATAAATGAAATTTCATAACAATTGTATCAAATAAAACAAGGGCGAATTACACTTATAGTTCGTGTAGTTTGAGACTTATGTTATTTTGGTCCTTGACTTTTCAATTATGATATATTTGACCCTGAATTTTGAATATTGTTCCAAATAAAGACAATCAAATATGTTTCCTTTGCAAACGGTTCATTTCAAGGGTAAAGTCGTCATATAACTTATTTTGTGTTGTTGTTTGAAATGTAATGGTATTTTTTTTTAATGAACAATGCTAGCACTTTTTAGTTATAAAATTCTGTTTGGTTTCATAATTTTTTTGTTAAGAAACTAAAAATTAAATTGGTAAAAAAAAATGAAAATACATCATATTTATATAATTTTATCTTTTGGGAGGATGGAAATAATTTTTTTAAATTAAATTATTTTATATTTATTTTCGTTAAATTAGTTTTTATTTTTTCAAAAGTCAAACATGGTAACAACTTTGATATCATTATTAAACCAATTCATTAAATCAAAAAATCTAAAATTAAAAACATTTCATATATTAAACATATCGATTATACATTAAAAGCCTAATAATCATCCATTACAAGATAATCATCCAAAAATATCTGTTAATAATAAAAACAACCATCTATTACATAATAATCATCCGAAAATGTCAACAAAAACAACCACCCATTACATAATCATCATCCAAATACATATTAAAAATTAATTTGGTAAAAAAATAAAAAAAATAAAAATGTAAATGATATATCATTTTTATATAATTTTATCTTTGGCGGATAAAAATAATTTTTAAAAATTTAAAAATAATTTTTTGATATTTATTTTTGTCAAACTAGTTTATATTTTATCAAATTAAGGACTTAGCCCCCGAAATGGAGCATTTTCTGTTCGTAAAGGAAACGGTATATTCAATTGTCTTTATTTGGAACGAGATTCAAAATTCAAAGTCAAATGTATTACAATTGAAAGGTTAATGACCAAAATGACACAAGTCCTAAACTACAGGGATCATTAGTGTAATTCACCCATAAAACAATATAAAAATGCAGAAAACTTATAGGCGAAGACTTGTAATCACTAATTCTTAAGAATAGATTGACGTCCTATCTTCCAAGATTCAACTACCTTGCAAGACTCAACTGTTACTTCCACATAAGCATGCATTCGCAATATGGAAGTGTCCTGAACAACTCATTTGATTGTCCCAAACATCAAACCAAAGTAATATATACATAATTGCTTGATAGAAAAATATATCATTTAGGAATGGCAACGGGCCGGGGTGGGGCCGGGGATCACCCTCCCCATCCCCGATCCCCAAAGCTGCAAAACTTCCTGTCCCCGCCCTCACCCCTCCCCTCTCCCCGATCCCTAGCGGGGAACCCATTACTCCCCTCACCCCCGCCCCTTAACGGGGATTGTGTTTCCCTGATCCCGGAAAATCCAACTCTCTCTCTCTCTTTCTCTGTTTTTAGCTTTCTCTCTCAATAAGAAATCATCAACAACAACATCATTTTCATCAACAACAACATTATCAACAACAACATCATTTTCATTAACAACATCATCAAAAAAAAAAAGAAAAAGAGAAACAGAGTCGGATAGAGACACACACACACATATACACACATACATGAGGTCTGAGATATGAGAAAAAGGGAATCGGCGGTGGCGGTGGCTGGATCTGCTTAGACCTTCCATAGCGGAGGGAGGAGGAGGCGGTGAGAGGCGACGAATGAGGAGGAGGAGGCGACGGAGGAGGAGGAGGTGGCGAGAGGCGATCTGACTGCGGAGGAGGAGACGACGAAGCCATCGCCGACTGCGGAGAAGGAGACAACGACACCGTCGCCAACTACCCATCAGAGGAAGAGAAGACAGAGAGAAGAGAGAGAGTGAGAGAAGAGCGAGTGAGAGAGAGACATATCAGAGGGGAGACTGAGAGGAGAGAGAGAGAGAGAGAAAGAATGAGAAACAGATTAGAGGGAATTAATAAAGGGGGAGTTTATATATATAAATGAATGGAGGGTATTATGGTAATTTTATTTCAGGGAAAAAACAGGATCGGGAATGGGGACGGGTCCGGGGCTGTGAAAGCTATCCCCGTCCCCGCCCCGAAACTGTTCGGGGATTCAATTTCAAATACCATTCCCGGCCCGTCGGGAGTATTTTTCGGGGAAAAATCACTCTTATCGGGGACGGGGGGGTCGGGTCCCCGTCGGGTCGAGTGTAAATTGCCATCCCTAATATCATTAAGATGAAAAGCTTTCATGTCTGTCTTACATCACCCTGGTTGTACATATCTATGACTATTAGAAATCATTTATATAAAATGGTATATCGAAATTGTCCAAACCATGAGACATACATGGCCTCAATGGTGTCTTTCAACCATGAGACATGTAAGAGCTTGAATTTTTTGATAGTTGATTAAACTAATGAAATTAATATCAAGCCATTTTAATAGTGATAATTTAAATTCTAATATTAGTAGTGAATGGTTAGTGGTAATATTAAGGCACTTTTGGATTAATTTCTTGTATTAATTTTCTATAAGAACACTAAATTAACTAAATAATTAATAACAAAATTTGTTGGAGTGTAGTAGAGAAGAAACCACCTAATTGGGGAAATATATATATATATATACACAAACAAATATTATCCTAACTCTCGTTACAACTTGTACACAGGTTGTTTATTTTTTTACTTTGATGAACATGCCGTAGTAACTCTCATTACAACCCGTACACAGGTTGTCCATTTTTTTACACCCAGTGAACATGATGTTCAAGCACCTGTCCGCTCTTCTCCTTGCAATCGCACACAGGTCATCCATTTTTCTATGCCCGATGAACATGCCGTTCAAGAGCACGCACACTCCTCTCCTTGTGGCACATAGATTACGCTTGATGAACACATCGTTCAAACATCTGTACTTCCAAGCACTTCCATCCAGATGTACACTGAAATTTTATTTTCTATTTTTTGGTTACAAAGTCAAGGTGGATTTCTATTTTCGCCATGATATTCTTAGCCTATATATAGGCTTCTTCATCTCATTGTAAACTATACTCAATCTTAATACAATTTCTTGTTTATATCTTTCTCACTTATGTTAACAATAATCTTAGACATCCAAAAACGTTTCTTCTAATCTAAAATGATAAAATCTTATCTTTATAATTGTTTGGGAAGAAAAATGGTCAAAAAATGGAGCTAAGTTGCACCGACATTACTTGAGTATTTGTGCAGCACTAGTCTCTTCCATTATTTCAAGCTCTCCAGCCCATATTAAGCCTACCTATATCAAGGGTTGTTCCCAACATTTCAAGCACTCGAGCCCAAATCAAGCCCCTATCAAGGGTCGAGTGCTTGAGTGCCTATTAAGCATTGAGGGCTCAACCCACATCATGCACTTATCTAGCATTGAGAGCTTGAGCTCCAATCAAGCTCTTGTGAACTCAAATCAAGTTGGGATTGAGCATCTTTGAAAAAAAAACTTTATGAAAAGTGACATAAAGAACAAATAATTAAAAACCTAAAAAAAAGGATTGGCGCCTAAATATGTGTGCGTGACCTAGCAAAAAAAAATCAATTTGTGTGCATAAGAGAGAGAACCTGTTTGGCAATGACAACTTTGGTTTTTAATTAAAAAAATCAAAAAATTATTATAAGTTGTATCATTATTCTTTTTAATTTTTAGTCGTCTTTTTATAAAAAATTAAAAATTAACTAAAATAGTTAATTTCCAAATAAGCCCCCAAGCATTGAAAAATAACTGAAGTAATCTACTGACCAAATCTAAAAAATTACAAACTCCAAATATTTTGTTCATTAAAAAGCCATATCTTTAAAAATAGGCAGAATCCTTAAAAATAACCACATGTTCCATAATAGAGCTAAGGTTCTAAATTCAAGTCTCACCCGTTTCTCAATCTTCTTCTTTTTTTTGTCTTTTTTTTTTTGGACAAATTACACTAATAGTCCTTGTACTTTACCTCTTGTGTCATTTTGGTCCTTGTATTTTCAATTTGCTCGATTTTGACCCTCAATTTTTTATTTTGTATCATTTTAGTCCAATTGTTAACACCGGTTAAAATTGTTGACAGAAAACAAACACGTGAGACGGACATGACCCTTGTTCAAGGGCAATATAGACATTTCACTACCCTTTCGTTGTTTCATCATCTTCTTCCTCTTGGACTCTCTGCAACAAAATCATCTACCACTGTTGCCTTCTTCCACCACTAAAATCATCCATAGACAATCCCAACATCAACACCATCCACCTCCACCGCACCAAAAACCCACTTAATTTCTCTTTCACAACCTTCACAGAGAGAGAGAAAGAGAGAGAGAGAAATTAAGATCAGTGTTTGTCGAAATTAAGAGAGAGTGTAATTTCCACTTTCAAGTTTGCTCCCAACTTAGATCAGGTCAACCGTCAAGACAAAGACAATGGCGTAGCTTCGAATCAGGTACAATAATGGAAAATTCAAGGGTCTGTTGATGGAAACACCAATATGGGTCCATCAAATGGTGAAATTTCTTAACAATCGACCCATGAATCGATCTCATTGGATACCAAAACAGAGGCTTTTCGGTGGAGCAATCGATTTGTTGATGAAACCAAGGTTCATGGACTTGATTATAAAGTCAAGTCTCTACAGAGATTGCTTGTTTCGGGTTCGTAATGTTCATATCAAATCTCCTCGGAACCACTTTGATGTCCTCCACATTGAGTATGAATTGAAGCATGTTTCGAATCGTATCGCAGTGATTCGAGTCTCCCCAGAAGAAGATCTGTCGACCCTGTAAACAATCTCAAGCTGATTCCCTTGAAAACAATCAAAACGAGCAATAGATCGAATATGTCCAACCATTGCTCTCCAAAACTCCCAAATTTCCATGACACCATGGACCATAATATGGGTATGTGGGTTCAAAGCATTTGAATCAACCTTCGCTGTCAACCGAGCAATTATCGTTCTTTCCATGGCGAGTTCACCAACCAGACAACACATTTCTTGAAAAATCAAACTTGTTACAAATCCCAATTTCTTGTAATCCAGCCATTGATTTGAAGAACTTGAGTGGGATTTTGCAAACTTGTTTGTCAATTGCGAATCTTTGTGGAGAAAATTTCAAACCCTTGTAGTGTTTGTAGAGTAAGATTATAGTGAGATTATAATCTCCAGCGAAATCTAGATGGATTTGGAGAGAAAAAGAGTAGGTTCCATTGCCCAAATCTTTAATCGGAGGCCGAGACTTCCATTGATCACCAGGGAGGTCGGTTTCAAGGTAATCACCACCCAAACAGTGAGGCTTCCCTGACTTATCCAAAGGTTGGAACACATACTCATGACTTGGCCTATTAGTAATTCAAAATAGGTGGTGTTGGGTTGGAATAGAAAAAGGTGTTGTTTGGTGGTGAATGGTGGTTGTGTTGTTTAGCAGTAGCGGTGGTGGAATGAGATTGATGATAGATGGTGGAGGAGAGGGAAAAGAGAAAAGGGAGTTGCAAAGATGGAATAGGAAGATTAGGATTGAAATGTCTGTTTTGCCCTTCAAAGTTGATCACATGTTGTGCACATGACTATTTTTTGTTAAATTTTTTAACAGAGGTTATTGATTGGACCTATGACAACCCTCACCTCTGATTACTGCTAAACTGTGACTAAACATGATAAGTAACTGATTAGGATGAAATCCTAAACTGATTGCATGAGTATGTTTCTTGATTGCATTTCTATCTGTTAGTCATTAAATGATCTATTCATGTTTTATCTTTGAATGGCGAATTGAAGGTCTTATCGGCGACCGAATCAGAAATTGATTGGTATTTTATGTTAATTAAAATTTAGGTGATTTTATGGTAGGTTTAATTTAAATTCGATTTGGAATGATTAAATTAGAGTTATTTAAGTTAATGTACATTAGTTCGACTTAATTACATTTTTACCATACTAGTAGGCCACTTTGTCAAAAATGTTGTTTAGAGCTTAGTTGCATCATTCTTCATCATTTTCTAGAGGAAAACCGTGAGAGAGAGGGAGAGTAGAGGAAAATTGGTTTCATCAAGAGTTTTGCTTGGAAACTTAGAAGATTTGGAAGAGAATTGCATATTTGAGCTATCATACCTTGAATTCAAGACCTAAGGTAGAGATTTCATCCTCTCATTTGTGAATTTGAGTTGTATCTTGCATGGTTCATGGTAATTTAGAGTTTAGAGTCAAGAATTGGTTTAAAGAGTTGAATTTGAGAGTGAATTCAAGCATGCATGTACATGTTCTTGAAATTTGAAGTTGTTTTGCATGAATTCCTTACATGCATGTCCATATTTTAGTAGAGGTCCATGAATTCATCTTGTTCTTGAGCTAAAACTTGCATTTGGTCATGTGTTAGTAGCTTTGAATTCAATTGAACACATGCATGTTAAGTGTACATCTTGTTCTTGAAGTTTATTTAAAATTGGTGTTTAATTGGTTTACCTTTGGGCTTGATTTTACAAAATTGATCTTTGAAACATGTTGTATTATGGGTTTTTAAGTGTTTTTCATTAGCCCAAAAGGATCGAGTTTGAGGCTTAAATGCTTGAGTTTTGTGCTTGGGGATGAATCTGGAAATTCCAGATTTTGGACCCACACTCGAGCATAGGACTTCACGCTCGAGCGTACCTTCTGAGTCGTGCACTTCCGCTCGAGCATGAAAAGTTACGCTCGAGCGTGAAATGCATATATCCAGAAGTTCTTGTGTTTTACAGTCCGCTCGAGTGAGAGAGTTCACGCTCGAGCGAGGACCTGAGTCTCACGC